GAAGACGGCATCCAACATGTCATCTTCTACGTTAGCAAAACCCTAGGGGAGGCCGAGCTCAGGTACTCCCCTGTGGAAAAAACGGTGTTAGCCATCGTTTGGACTGTCAAAAAGCTGGGCCACTACTTTCAGGCTCACCCGGTTCAGGTCCTCACTCATCAACCCCTCGGTGCCCTCATGAGGAGCCCCACCAGCTCCTCCCGCATGGTGAAATGGGCTATCTTCTTGAGCCAGTACAACATTGACATCCGTCCAAGGCCTGCCATCAAGGGCCAAGCCCTAGCGGACTTTGTGACGGAATGTACCGCAAGGGCAGCCACGGACGGGGAGCCCTCGGCTACCTCGGACGACTGGTGGACCCTCTACACTGATGGCTCCTCCGCGACCAAAGCATGCGGGGGAGGGGTAGTCCTCATTACTCCCGAGGGCTTCAGGGCCTACTATGCAATCCGCTTCTCCTTCAAGGTCTCCAACAATGAGGCCGAATATGAAGCCCTCCTATGTGGCCTTCGGCTGGCTGCCAACATGAGGGCTCGGCAGATCCACATCAAATGCGACTCCAAGTTGGTCGTTGGCCAAATCTCCGAAGAATATGAGGCCAAGGAGGGGAGAATGAAACAGTACAAGGAAGCGGCCAAGGAGTTGCTTAAGGTATTTGAGGCACATTCTCTCACTCAAATACCGAGGGCTCAGAACTCCGAGGCCGACATATTATCTAAACTCTCGGCAGACTCCCCCGAGCACATCTCTAAAATTGCCAAAATCGAGGAACTCAGCCTCTCAAGCATCCATGCAAGCCCCGTGATGAACATACAACAACGTCAGGAGGATTGGATCTCAGATATCACCGCCTTCATCTCCACAGGGCAGCTGCCCGAGAATGAGGCCCGCGCTAAACTGGCAAAGCTGAGGGCTCCCAGCTACACCATCGAAGATGGAAGGCTCTACAAACGATCTTACAATGGCACGCTTCTTCGGTGCCTTCATCCAGATGAAGCCGAGGTCGCAATGGAGGAAGTGCACAGTGGCACTTGCTCAGCTCACCAAGGACCCTTCTCCATGTCCCGAAGGCTCATTCTCCAGGGCTACTTCTGGCCAACCATGGCCAGGGATTGTGCTGACCTTGCCCGGAGGTGCACCGCATGCCAACATTTCCAGAAAGCCCCCGGCAGGCCAGCGGTCAACTATGCCCCCATCAGCACATCTGTCCCTTTTTCTCGATGGGGGATAGACCTTGTGGGCCCTCTGCCGAGGGGTACCTCCAACAACAGATACATCATTGTGGCCGTCGACTATTTTACCAAGTGGGTGGAGGCTGAACCCCTCGCCAGCATCACGGAGGCGAAGTGCCGTCACTTCGTCCTCAAGAACATCCTCACAAGGTTTGGCGTCCCCCAGCAGATCATCTCCGACAATGGGACGCAATTTGAGGCAGCCCCCTTCTGTGCCCTTCTGGAGGCATGGGGCATCAAACACACCTTCTCCTCCGTTGCCTACCCTCAAGGCAACGGGCAAGTAGAGAATGCCAACCGGACATTGCTCGAGGGCCTCAAAAAGAAGCTGGAGGCCGAGGGCGGTGGCTGGGTAGAAGAACTTCACAACATCCTTTGGGCCTACCGCACCACCCCTCGGCGAGCTACAGGTGAAACACCCTTCTCCCTCTGCTACGGTTTTGAAGCCAAAGCTCCTACGGAAGTCACCCTTCCTACCCGAAGGGTGATCCAGTATGACCCCGAGGTCAACGACAGCAACATGGCCCTCGACCTCCACCTCATTTCAGAACGCCGGGAGCAGGCCTTCATCCGGGCAGAAAACTACCGAAGGCAAGTTAAAAGCTACATCGACGCCAAAGTTCGAACCCGAGAATTTCAAGTGGGGGACTATGTCCTCCGGAGGAGGGAAGCCAGCCAACCAACCGAGGGAGGAAAAATGGCACCAAAATTCGAAGGCCCCTACATCATAGCAGCCATCATCAAACCCGGGACCTACAAGCTCAAACGCCCCAATGGGAAAGAAGTCCCTAGGCACTTGAATGTACACCATTTAGTTAAATTTTATCAATAATGTAAGAGCGGCCAAGCCCTCATAACTAGTGAATGTACTATCCTATGGCCCAAGGCCTCCAATTTCGAAGAATGAAGATACATTCAAGACATCAAACCCTCATACTGACTACAGGCCCCCGGCCCCACCACGAGAAGAACCCCCTCCGGCACCAAGTGCCGAGGGCGAGCACCATCAACACCTACAACAAACAGTGAAAACACCACGTGTTTTCAGTCAAGACCCCTCGGCACCCAGTGCCGAGGGAGGAAACTCCTATCACCAACACCAAGGAACGCCATGTGTTTCATTTCCCTTCGGCACCCAGTGCCGAGGGTACATTCCCACCTTCAACATCAAAAAAGAAGAGATAAGAACACCAAGTGTTCCTACAGAAGACCCTTCGGCACCCAGTGCCGAGGGTACATCTCCATCATCAAAATGTTTCAAAGAAGACCCCTCGGTACCCAGTGCCGGGGATATGCTCTCCTATCAACTTCCAAACATCTGTTGGGAAACACCAAGTGTTTCATTTGGAGACCCTTCGGTACCAAGTACCGAGGGTAGACACCTCCATCGACTACGACAAAAGAGAACACCAAGTGTTCCTATAGAAGACCCCTCGGTACCACATACCGGGGGCTACACATCGGAACTAACACCAAGTGTTGTTTCTAAAAGCCGTACCCCACGAGGACGCATATACCGAAGGCGCCACCATCGGTGCCGGCGGCACGTAGTGCCCCCGGCCATTTGCAACTAGTGTGCAAATGAAAACCCTTCCTTGAAACGCTTTCCGCGTCACTACCCCCAGGGTGTGACAGGCATGAGAAATGCCCAGGATTCGACTTTCAAAAACGGAACGCTATCCGCGTCACTACCCCCAGGGTATGACAGGTATGAGAAATGCCCAGGATTCGACTTCCAAACCGAAACGCTCCCCGCGCCACCACCCCAAGGGTGTGGCAGGCCACGGACTATGTCTGGCGCCGAGGGGACGACTTTCAAAAATGAGGCGCTTTCCGCGCCATCCCCCAAGGGGAGGCAGGTTACGGACCACCATATCTTGTGCCCAGGAAACGTCCCTCGATCCCCTCGGAACTCGGAAGGTTAACCCGAGGGAGGAGAGCCATTGGTGTATTCTGATGGTCTCCTAATAGGCCCAGCCTTACCAAGAAACCAAGTTTCTTGATGCCTTCCCTTCACCACCAACCAAAAAAAAAAAAAAAAAGAGGGGGTGAAGGGGAGTAGACTCAGCGAGAAATCAAAGAGTACACTCCAACAGATCACAACAAGCCGAGGGCTCCCCACGGGAACACCTCCGGTAACTGAAGGCTCCTATTTCCCAAAGGATACTACTCAAACAAATATCATCAGGAAACGGCTAAGTCCACTGCCTGGTCACCTCCGGTCACAAAAACACCGAAGGCTTCAACAATACAAAGGGACTGGACTATCCAAGGTCCACTAAACGGTACTTCAAACAAACGCCGAAGGCATCTGTTATGCACAAATACCGAGGGCCCTTTCCCCATGACAAGGGTCAAATCCTACAACTTTTAAACTGTATGCCGAGGGCACACACTCCTCATTGGCTTTCTTCACAACAACAGGATACAACATCAATTTATGCTTAGAAAAATTCTAAGTCCTGAAGGAGCAGCCCCCGGGCACCCGAAGGCTACACAGGGAAGCAGCACTTGAAAAAATTCTAATACCTAAAGATTGGGCCCCCGTCCCAATCAATATTACAGCCAAGGGAATATGGTGGCCGAAGGCCATGCAATACAACAACACCTAAAAAAGAGTATTCTGTCCTAAATGAGTAGCCCCCGGGCATCTGCAAAGTGATGTGGAATCAGAGGGCAGCTATCTCCCGAAGGCTCCCAAAGGAGATTTTGCACTTAGAAGATTTTCTAAGTCCCACATATTTCCCCCCCGGTCAACTACTCATACATCATGAAGGGATGCCATCTCCCGAAGGCTCCCAAGGGAAGCTCTACACTTAGAAGATTTTCTAAGTCCTGCACATTTCCCCCCCGGTCAACTACTCATACATCATGAAGGGATGCCATCTCCCGAAGGCTCCCAAGGGAAGCTCTACACTTAGAAGATTTTCTAAGTCCTACATATTCCACCCTCATCTCAATCGAGGGCTACAGTACACAAGGAATCAGCACTCAAGAAAATTTTCTAAGTCCTAAAGAATTAGCCCCCGGCCTAATCAATATTGCGGTTGGGGCTCCACAGTAGCCGAAGGCTACGTGACACACTACACTTGCAAAAAAATTCTAAGTCCTATACATTGGGCCCTCGGTCCAATATTTACACATCAGGAGGGGACGCCATATCCCGAAGGCTCACAAGGGAAATCTACACTTAGAAATTTTTCTAAGTCCTAGGATTTGGGTTACTGCAAACACCCGAAGGCCCTATGGTGTGCTACACTTAGAAAAATTTTCTGAGTCCTAATTGTTGTCGAACCCTCGGTTGCATATCCAGCCGAGGGTGCCCAACTACCGAAGGCTCCCAAGGGCTAGCTACAATTAGATAATATTCTAAGTCCTAAAACATACATTCAAAGGAGCAAAGACATACATCCAAGACAAAAACGAAGGCATGCATTCAAGGAGAAAGGAATTGGAAAAAACAAGTTACATGTACAAGGCCCGAAGGCAATCATTCATTCAACAAAAGAAAGGGATTCAAGTGTGTTTGTTACAGAGTATGGCCAAAGCCGAGGGGTGACAAATGTTCATTACAAAGCTTTTTCAAAAAAAAAAGGTGACTAAGTACTACTCTTATCGGCGGCTTCAACCTCATTGTCTCCGGGGGCATCTTCCACGACAACCTTGGAGGAGACTTCTTCTCCGACAGCATCGCCCCCGACGGCTCCACCCCCGTCACCCCCATCATTACAGAATCATAGATTGTCGGCCGCTCTTCACCCGGGGGGAGGGGAACTCTGACATCTGGTTGCAACGGAGGGAGGCCATATGCCGAGGGGTCGAATTGCTCGAGGGACACGCCAAAGTGCCTGGCAAGCCTCCGGTAGATCAGGTGCTGGGTAAAGAACTCACCCCCCTGGTAGTAGGCGTCCCCCCTGTCAGTCAGCCAGTCAACCCCGGGGCCTTCTACCCAAGCGTCCACCGAGGCTGCCACCACGGAGGCAACCCACTCCTTGTGGCCCTCGGCCCTCCAGCCCTCAGCAAGGAACTCCGCAACTGCCTCCCCTCGGGCCTCGGCCGCAGCTCTCTCCTTAGCAGTTTGGGCTTCATCGGCGGCTTTCTTCGCCGCCTCGGCAGCAGCCCTCTCGGCCTCTGCCTTGCCTTCGGCTATGCCATCAGCCTTGGCCTTCTCCGCCGCCGCCTTCGCCTCCCGAAGGGCCTCCTCCAGCTGGGCAGCATGCTTCACCGCCTCGGAGTTCTTGCGGATCAGCCCCTCCACCTTCTTATCCTGGGCAGCCTCGTGAAGACGCCTTTCCTCGCGCCTCCGAGCCTGTTCCCCGAGGGCTATGCAGGCCTGCAAACAATGATCAAAGGAGTTAGATTGTTCCTCAGGAAAAAATAAGACTAAACTGACAAGATAAGGAAAAAGGAAGCGGATACTTACAGTGAGCGAGGACCGGAGGATCCTGTTCTCGAGGGCATCGTCATCGTCGGTCTCGAAGACTTCCCTGTCCATCTTCGAGGTGATGCCCCGCAGGAAGGCCTTCGGCTCGGCAGTGCCGTGCATCAACGAAGCGCCGGGGGCAAAGGAGAGCTGACGGATCTCCCGGGGTGATTCCGCCCGGGGGGATTCACCGGATCCTTCGGGGGGACCGAGGCCAGAGGCTCATCAACAGCGGGCATGTCGTCAATAACTATGAGGGGGGCCGCCCCCCCGACAGCACCCTCGGCGCCTTTCTGCTTCTTGGTGGGGGGCTCCACCCCCTTGTCGCTCCTCTTCTTCTTAGCGGCCGCCTCGGCCTTCGACCCCCCGGTCCCCACAGCAGCATGGGCGTCCCCGGCGGAAGGCTCTATGACCTTCGGGAAAAGCGCGTCAACTGGCTTCTGGCCCGAGGGCCCCTTCTCCTTTTGCTGGGTCTTGCCCTTCCTCTTCGCGAACAAGGCGTTGGCATTCATCCTGCTACCTGCAAAGAACGACAGCAACAAATTGAAATGTTAGAACCGAGGGGTCGGAGACACGACAACAAACATAACAAAAAATCTCTAAGTACGAAAATGCAAAGCCCCCGGCCACTACCTCCTGCTCCCACGAAGGCTTTATCGTAGAGAGGATACTTCTCATCGGTCTCCCCAATGAACCGATACCTCAGGAATCCGAGGGCATACAGGTCTTCCTCGAGGGTGCACTCCTTGATGGTTACGTTCTTTGTCCGACCCTCGGGAATCTTGGCAATCTTCAGACCATCCTTCTCGAGGGCGGCACTCTTGACCTTCACATGGCGCCGAAAGCAATTCCGCAACTCCCTCGGGAAAGGGCTGTCGGCCAGTCTGATGTAGCACCATCGCTCTCTCCACCCCTTGTTGGAAGAAGGGGCCTCGGTGAACAGTTTGAACTGGGCTATCTGCTGTAAGTTCGCATAGCCCTCGGCATTGGTGTGGCCCCCCCGGCATAGGTTGAAGCTTTGGAAGAATAACTCCAAGCTCGGTGTAACCCCCCGGAGTGTGCACAGGTTCACAAACCCAGCTATGTATGAATGGCTGTTGGGGGTCAATTGGCAGGGAACCAGGCCAGTATACCTGAAGTACTCCCGAAGGAACGGATGGAGAGGGAATCTGAGGCCCATTGAAACCGAGAGCACGTGCACGGCTATGCATCCCTCGGGAGGCCGGGATGTATAAGATACATAAAATACATAAAACACTTACATTATCAATGTATAAGATACATAAAACACCCAAATGAAGCTATTGTTCTAACAAGTCATTCAAAATACCAATTCATATGTTAAACAAAGTACATACATACTAAAGAAGCTACTCCATTGCCCATCAAAGGTGTTCAAGGTTACAAAAATAATACTTTTTACATGATCAAACTAAATTCATACATATCAGTACAACAAGAGCACACATCATCAATACAAATACATAATTCGTCTTCGATTTTGCTCCTCTATCCAATTCCAAATGGTCTGTAACCTCTATATGGTTCAACTCTTGAAATTCCAGGTTTTGTTTAGAGGTATGCTCATATTCTGGAATTGGTGTTTCTTCAAACTCCCCACCTGCAATTATGGCCTTCCCTGCACGTATGACCTCCTCCAGTCCCATTATTGTACTCACAAGTCTTCTATTCTCCATTTTTAGATCATTGATAACATGCTTGACCCTATCTGTCAGAGGTTCATCATGTCATTCAAAGAACCCACAACCATCATTCTGTAGACATTAATCAATCATCCCATAAATCTACCATAAAACAAAAAATATCAAAATGGGATAAATGAGACAATTTTAAAGTTTGTAATACCTCATAATGCGGGCAACCATAAAACCGTCTCCCTAGATTCTTATCATTCCATGAAGTCCAAATTCGAGCTTTCACAGGGATTCCACTTCGCCTCCTACATTTACAAAACCTCACGCCCCCACCGTATTGCGTCTCAATATTCGTTCCACATCGGACTGAATCAATGGATGATGATTTCTGTAGTGCTGCAGACCTTGATAGTGAAGACCTATCTTCCAGTGCTATTGCTTTCCTCTACACAGATGTCTGCATAATTAGGGTTGTTGGGGATGACTAGTATTCCACCCGTGCGCTGCACGGGATGTAAAATCTAAATATTATAAATGTTAACCTATAAATACAATTATAAATCACACGAAGTAGTCTTTTTTATCGGTAACCATTAGTAATAAATAAATAAATAAATAAATAAATAAATAAATAAATAAATAAATAAATAAATAAATAAATAAATAAATAAATAAATAAATATTAGAAGTTAATAAACACACACTTTAAAAATTATTGAAGAATTCTTTATATACAATATTTTTTTGCAGTTTTTTCTTATTTCTCTCATCACCATACATCAGGAAATTCAAGTCAAATGAATTTATCACTTGTGAATCTGCAACATACAATTACTCGTGTGTAGAAACGTGACGCCGGAAGAAAAGACCTACAGTTCATAACGATCGCTCTTGACTCTTGTTCTTGATATACAAATAGCATGATCTATGATGTGCCTTCACTGTGCAAAGCAATTACAGATTTTACAAAATGGAAAAGCTTATGGGTTTTAAAAATAGAAATAAAAGTAGAAAAAATCAACACTACCATCACTCAATTTTCTCTACATCAGTCCACATTTAGTTTGAGCATTATTGCTTTTTTATAGGTTTACACCCGTACGTAGCAATATAGATGTTTTAATGAATAAAGAATCGACTAATTTGACTGTTTAAGAAGTTAAATAAATTTTTGAGAAATTACCCAAAATAGGACTAAAAACGTTTGTATATTCAAAAATATGACTATCATGTTTTTATTCCCAAAGTAGGACTAATTATTGCCATATTTTGGCAGTACCAGACTTTAAACATGACAATATTTTCCAAACTTGACAATAATTTCTCCCATTTTGGGAATAAAACATGACAGTCCTATTTTGGAATTTTCAAACTTTTTTACTCCTATTTTGGGAATGTTCGACATCAAACTTGGCACTAAAAGTTTCAATGTTTTAGTATAAGTTCCACATTGGAATAAGGTCCAAGAACATTTGCTTTTTCTCTCTGGAGTATAAATAAGTTTCCGCTTAAAAGGACAATTAGAAAGTATGCATATTTCTTGTCAATTTTTATTAATTGAAATCATTGTAGTACAAAACACAAAAAGAAAAATGGTATTTAAACGGCAAACAACAATGTGTTGTGATCATGTGTGTCTTCTCACTAATGGAATGATAGATCGAAAGTAAAGTCTTTCCCAATAGGCAGATTTAGCCCAGGGATCTCCACTACACCAGTGCTATTATTCAATCAAAGAACAGTAACTTTCTTTATAATCCAACCACTGCTGACAGCAATATCCGGGTTTGTGACCGCTGACATAAGAGTTACATTATCCCCAACACTCTTGGTTTGGAAATGCACTAAGCTCCATTTGCCTCCCACACCGCCCATTTCTACCTCTTGTCCATCATCCAAGAAAACTTCACCAGAACTATTTACGGTGCTGCTTGTGTAGTTAACCCTTCTCCCTGCAATGCTAGAATATGTCCCTCCCGGAGATGAACATTAATGTGATCAAGAGGAGCATCAAGAGTCACATTACCCCCAGATTCTGACTTCACAGAGTTTGAATAGTTGAAGAGGTCGTACCATGTTCCGGCTGGGAAATATGCTTCAACTGAGACAGCACCACTGGTTAGTACAGGGGATATCAGCACGCCCTTGCCGATGAGGAACTAGGAGTAGACTTTGTGTGTGTTGAGTTCATTGGGGAATGAAAAGAAGAGCGGCCTTGCAATGGGGACCCCGCGAAGGTGTGCCTTGTACATTAATGTGTAGAAGTATGGGAGTAGGTGGTAGCGCAACCCCAACACCTTCTTGGCTGATGCAACCACTGATTCCCAGATGTACGGCTCATGACAGTTGCTCAACTTGTCCCCATGGTTTCTTGAAAATGGATAGAATGCCCCTAACTAAAATCCAAAAACGTTAATTTTTAATATGTAGACCGAGTTAAGAATACACTTATCATTATAGGGTAAGGGATAAACATCTTTTTAGTCCTTATCCTAAGACACAATTGACCACAACACAATAACTAAGGTAAGTTGTTAAATTTATTTTAACTTTTTTACAAATATATGACTAAAATAAGAATACAACACAAATGTCTCTTTTATTACGTAGTGACAATGGGGTTACTGCAGTTGATGCCCTAACACAGTAAATGAAAAATCGCCATGGTCACCCCAGTTGATGCAAAAATATCATTATGGTCACTGTGCAATAAAAGTCATTTTGTCCATTACTTTACTTTGTCATAATTTTTATAGTGTTTCTTATATGTATGAACGGAGGCAGTAAGAAAATGAATATTGAAACGAAAATAGAAGGCATCTATTGGGTTAATTGATGAAGAAAATGTGATATGAAAAGCATTTATTTTCGTTCCGTTTATTGTTACCTGCATCAACCTCTGGCAAAGTTCTTCAGTGGTACTTCTAGCAAAGCCACAAATGTCAGCGCCAACCATGGGAATGCCAAAGAGTCCAGAATTCAAAATTGGTGGAATGTTGAACGCCAAATCATCCCAGCTGGCCGCATTGTCACCGGTCCAGTGTGCAGCGTACTTGCTGTTGGAAAAATGTGTTAAAAATTGCATTAAATGGTCATTTTGGGGCAATTATTTGAGTGGGGTCCACTTCCGATTTGGGTCGGGTCAAAGTGGTTTCGGATTGTCCTTGTTAAGGGCTACAATTCGATATATGGTACGCTCAAAACGGATAACGGGTGAATGAGAAATTGATTCTCGAAGTTCGCTCGTTGTAATGGAAAAACTGGGAAAATGATGAGTTTCTAGTGTGTTTTATCCCACACCGAAAAACTCAAGGGATTTTCACCCCCTTTTAAAGGGAAGCCTCTTTTAAGGAGTTAAGATTCCTAAAGGGAAAGGCTCTCTCTTACGCGCAGGGGGGGGGGGGTGCCGATCAAATCCCGAAACGGAGAAGAAAATCCGCGACTCGTGTGCGCGGGCGACCTGCGGACACGAATGCCGTCCAAAAATCTATTTCTCAAGAGATACGGTTAATTTTTGTTTTCTTCCCGAACGTTTTTTCCCAGAAGGCCTCGAACAGAATCGTTTCTTCCGTTACAACAATTAATGCCCAACGTTCTTATCTTTTAATGCTGCGTTAAATGGACAGTTTATGGACGATTCAATGCCCAACGGACTGGTCATTGATGTCCAACCTTCAGGTCCATTAACACCCCATTTAACACACAACAAATCCTCCTATAAATAGCTGGCAGGTGCTTTGCAACACACACACGGTTTGATAACGCACAACACTTTCCTCACGTTTTCTTGAGCTGAAAACTCTTCCAGCTACTCCCAAAAATCCTTCTGTGTTCATACTTGGTTCTCGTTCGCTGGAACTCCTGTTTGTGTGCTCAAACATTAGTTCGTAGTCATCGTATCCTGGGAAACGATTGTTGCAACGCTCCTAGCACCGTGGGAGGCAACAAATACGTTTTAAGGAAATCGTGCGTAGCACGAGCTTTGGCTAATTCTGCTTCATCTCCTTTCTTGTTTTTCTCCAGTCGTTTTATTTAATTAATTTATTTTAATTAATTTTCTTTATTTTCCGAAACACACCCAACACTTGCCAGAACCCACAAAAGTAGACTTGCTCAGCACAAAAGTCTCTTCCCAGTAACATTCAGTAAAGCTTGGTGAGTAGCCTTTGATTCCAAAAAACCAAACAGGTTATGAACGTCATACTCCACAATGCCACCAAAATGTTGTGCTGTTGCTGGGATGGTCCTCTCGTTGATCGCCCTCTTGTTTCCGGAGTTATTAATCGCGAACCAAATTGGTAAAAAGGAATCAATCAATATCAGGTCTGTTGCATGTAAATAGGTTCTCAAACATAGAATTTTGGAGAAATGAAGTGAAACTGGGATTTAAAGCCATCAAAATATATAAAATGAAACTGGGATTTTGGAGAAATGAAGTGTTGAACAAACCATAAAGCCATCAAAATATATAAAATATTTCAATTTTAGGATGAAGAGGGTTTCATACAGTGGGCGGGTGTGTGCCAAGCCTGAGAGGGTTTCATTTTGGAGAAATGAAGTGCTGAAACAAACCATAAAGCCTTAGAAGTACCAACACCAATGATTTTGTAATAGATCAATCATTTTCATTTATGTTCTCTAAGATCTAATAAAGAAGATAAAGAGATGAATTGGCTTCCAAGATGCCACTTCAGCCTGAGAGAGGAGATTAAAATTCAACCGGTTTATAGACATAGTGGAATGAGGCAGTCATAAAGAAAGTGAAAGTTTGCTTTTTTTTTGTGAATGGCAGAACTTACTTGTTTGTGGTATACTATTAAAAATTGAAAGATATATCTCATGCTCACGTGTTAGATGTTAAATGACCATGCTTACGAATGAATAGAATAAATCTCATTCCTCAAAGGTGGGCATTGACTCGACTACTTGTGAGTACAAATAATACTATTGTGTTTGTATATTTTACAGGACACAAGGAGAAAACTCATAAAAGCTAACTATCTTCAAATTCCACCGCAACAAACTCGTACGATAATCATAAAAGCTTGAGTTATATGCCCAAGTTATATTTCATTCTAATAAAAAGATTTGGTTAATCATTTTTAGCGGTTATAGATTTAATTTCAGTTTATATTTCTGCTTTTGAAATAAGTACTTTTATTAACTCAAGTTTTTTGAGATGATTAGCTTAAGTTTTTGCATCCCTTTTCTTACATCAAGAAACTGAAACACATCTAAAACTGGCAAGTTTATAATCTCTTCGTCCTGCATCACTATATAATAACACAACAATAAGCAGAATTAAAAGCTATTAACGCAACAATTACTACTGAAATTGATGTAAAAGATTTTATATAAAAGCTTTTATTACTTTCACAGTTCCACATCCAAAGCCATCAAATACCTGTTGACAGTAAGTATGGTTTGAACTAAATCAATACCAAAGGATACTTCTAAGCAGCTTGCAAGTAAATTCAAAAAAGAGAGACCAAATCAATGAAGTTATAAAATGAAAATGGTTCCAAGATTAATAAAAATGGGGAGCATGAACAGATTGAAATGAATTAGATGTTGTATTTTAAGTATTGAAGGTTATACCTTAAATGGAAACCCGCAATGCGATAAACTTGTGATTTCATCTTCTCTATCCCTAAGAGCTGAAGCATTTACGCTGATTTATAAGAAATGGCTTGATGGTTAATAATACAATTACAAAAAACCACAGAGTTATGCTATTTTTATCATGTAATACTTCAATAAATGCTAAATTTGTATTCATCAGTGAAGTAGAAATACATAAAAACCAAAGTGAAGGTGCAATGAGAAAGAAATATAGCTTCTCAATTCAATTTTCTTCACCTGAGCATTTTACCAAACATCATATATGCAAAACTCTATTACCAGCAATGAAATGAACAAAGTATTGAATAGAGAATCATAGCAATATGAATGTTACTAAGGAGAAAGAGTCTGAAGATTTGCTCTTGACACTTGAAAAAGCAGCTTTCCAAGTCTCGTCGCTTCGGTGAATCACTTGAGCGCTGATACATATTCGATGTTATGGAGCTAGACCAGTGAGCTATTATGCTTTATTCAAAGGATGACTCGTTCCAAGCACACCTCCTGATTGTCATCACTCGATCACTTCCTTTTCCACTAAGCGATTGCTCAGGGACCTTAGCTTAAGATCTAGGTTGTTTCCCTCCGGACTTTGGATCGACCTGGAACGGGGATGAAGCCGGTTGAAATGGAGGAAGCGTAAAAGTGGAGAAGGGGTAAAGGCAGCGTAGATGGATACGATGGCGAAGGAGGAGAAATAAACAAGGGAAAGAGATGTAATACTGAAATGGATGGGTGAAGATGCGGGAAATGGACGAATGAGATGTAAAAATGGGTTGAGCGGGAATACTGTAGAATGAACAGTAAAAAGTTGTATTGCTTTTATGTATTAGATTCAAAGGATGACTCGTTCCAAGCACACCTCCTGATTGTCATCACTCGATCACTTCCTTTTCCACTAAGTGATTGCTCAGGGACCTTAGCTTAAGATCTAGGTTGTTTCCCTCCCGACTTTGGATCGACCTAGAACGGGGATGAAGCCGGTTGAAATGGAGGAAGCGTAAAAGTGGAGAAGGGGTAAAGGCAGCGTAGATGGATACGATGGCGAAGGAGGAGAAATAAACAAGGGAAAGAGATGTAATACTGAAATCCATGGGTGAAGATGCAGGAAATGGACGAATGAGATGTAAAAATGGGTTGAGCGGGAATACTATAGAATGAACAGTAAAAAGTTGTATTGCTTTTATGTATTAGATTTTGGGGGTCTTCTTATGTGCAGTGTAGTTAGGGGGAAATGGAAACGGGCGTTTAACGGGAGAGTTAGTGGGTGGTTGAAAGTTAAGGGAAAGGTTTTAATTTGTGTTGTTTTGGTCCACTTTTAACCTCAGTGTCCTATTCGAGATTCATTAAAAACATTGGTGTCATTTTTGGCCCTTCTCCCTTTAAAATTCACTTATTATAGGAGGTAATATGTAGTCATGGACCATTATTGGCGGACGGTCTATATAGTTGGGATGATACAAAAATAATCAATAGTTGGGATTATTGTTAGTGGACCGGCAGTAGTTGGGATTACTATTTTCAATTTTTCCTTTTTCTTATTGACTTTCACATATTTGTTTACCTTTTGTTCTTTTAATTTATTTAACAACAATTCTTGGTGTACTCCTTCTTATACACATCAGTACACCCCGTGTTTGTGAGAGTTTTTTTTTGTCTGTGAATCCCAGTCCACAGACAAATACAGGCTTGTTTTGTTTGTAGAATTTTTTTACAGACAAAACAAGCCTGTTTTTGTCTGTAGACACAAAAAATCTCATACTTTTTTTAAAAAAAATGTACAGTAAACCTATAAATTATCTTAAACTACGTGAAAAGCCTACCGGGACACTTATTTTAATACGGAGGGAGTAATGAATATTACACAGATGAAAATGTATGTAAGCCTATATAAAATTCATTTTCATTTTCTATGGGCTAAATTCCCCAAATAAAACTAAATGAAACTTTAATGGTAAGAATAGGAGAATAACTTTAAAAATCCCTAAATAGAATTGCATTTCCAATCCTACCTTTGCTTTGTTTGAATACAATTCATATTTCATTAATAATTAAAATATAAAAGTAATAACATAAACTTATTTACAATTGAAATGTAAATAAAAACCCACAAAAATAAATTTTAAATAAAATTAATAAAAAAATTAAAACATAAAAAATTATAAAATAAAAAGAAAGTTAAGAATCTAAAATAAAAAATAAAAACATAAAAAATAAAGAAAAATATGCACGCCTCTGCCGCCGCCTAAACAACATCCCAGCAGATCTAGAACTAGCCACCGGAAAACAATGCAAACATGTATTAGTAATGTCACATTTTTTAATTGAAATTTTCAAAGAGTAAAAGTACAATCTTTATGATATTTTCTGATAAAACTGGCATTATTTTTTTACACAAAATGACTTTTTTGCTGATTGGAGGTGGCCTTGTTGGGAGTTGGTAGAGGCTGCGGGAAAAGCTTCCATTTTCTTATGTTTTATCTGATTTTTATTTATTTTTATTTTTTAATGTTTTTCATTATTTTTTTATTTCTTTGAAATAGTTTTGATTTTTTCAATATTTTTTATGATTTTTTATGAAATATTTTCAAATATATAACCAAAATAAAAGTAGTTGATAAAAATGTGACACTAGTAACTTTATTGACTATCCGGGGCGTAGCGAGGAGTAAGAGATGTGCTGGACCAGTACAAAGAATTTTTACAGATAAATTGTTACATGTGAATTTTTACATTAAAAATATAAGTAATTTTAAAATTTGGGCTAGACCCGGAGCCTGAGGCCCGGTTTGCCCCCCTCCACCTCCGCCCTTATTGACTATAATTCTATTCAAATGTTACATCATGGTGACTATATAAATTACTCATAGTAACTTATAGTTACATTTTTGTGTATTTATTTTTTATTACTAATATTTTTGAAGAAAAAAATTATTATAATTTTTTAATGATTTTAATGCTTGTGTTAGAAATTAAAATATGATTTTTTTCTATTAAGTTATGATGATAAGAGTAAAATAGTAAGATAAGGGGGGAAAAGACTCCAATAGGAGTAAAACATGGGCTTGGTATACGGATAAGACCTCCTACTTTTTTAACCCTAAATAGGACTTATTTGCATCTGGACGGACAAAAATAACCCCAACCACCTCACTCAATCGCGATCCACCGACTTCGCAGAACACCGAAAGCTTCAGCCGTCTTCAACCCATTCCAATGGCTGTCGAAGCTCGGATAATCTTCAACAAAAAGCTCCAATCGATTTTCTTCATCAATTTCAGAGACTCATTCGTCGAAGCTCGGATTACATTGGCGAAGCTCAAAGACTCATTCGTCGAAATTAATATCAGGCTACAATGTCATTCAAACCAATTCCGAACGATTTCGGGCGAAATTCCGATCAATTTAGTTTCTTTCAACATATCTTCTGCGCAAAAAACATACCTTTCTCCTTTTTCAATTTCTTTATGTCCTGCTACAGTGCTACGTCAAAACATGTTAAAATGGTGAAATAATGACACTATGTATGTCACTATACTTTAAATATTATCAAAATAAAGTGAAAATCATCAAAATGTCTTAACAATGTCAATGTCTTAACAATGTCAATGTTATAGCAATGTCAATAAAAAACAATGTCAATGATATTGTCATAAGAATGTCAATGACAATGTCATAAGAATGTTAATAAAAACAATGTCAATGACAACGTCATAAGAATGTTAATGACAATGTCATAAGAATGTCAATGACAATGTCATAAGAATGTTAATAAAAAACAATGTCAATGACAATGTCATAAGTATGTCAATGACAATGTCATAAGAATGTTAATGACAATGTCATAAGAATGTCATACGAATGTCAATGACAATAATATACATTCCTTATTTCTTTGCTTTCAGTTTGTTCGTATGTACAGAGCACTATCAAATAGTTTGACAATGTTGATATCATTTATCAATACTAAAAACAATGTCACAATTTTGAAATGAATCCACCTGATAGGAAAATCGGTCCCAGATCTAAAAGAGAAGAAGAGAAGTAGAAGAGAAGGAGAAAAAGAAGAGGAGGAGGAGGGGGAGGAAGAATAAGAAGAAGAAGGAGGAGGAGGAGGAGGAGGAGAGGAGAAGAGAGAACGCAGGTTACGCATCAGGGCCTTCAGCCGCACCGTCGCACCTCCACACCGCCGCACCAAAAATACTACCGCACCACTGCAACACCATTTTAGCTCAGCACCTCCATTATTTTGACGGTGCTCTGTCTTGTTTAGCTGTGGAGGAAGGAGAGATGATTAGGCGAGGCTATTGCCGAGTGATAGCTGTGGTGCGTTAGGAAAAGGCCAGACGGGAAAACAGGGGCAATTTCGGAAACACGGAAAAATTTGGTCTTATTTAGGAGTTAAAAAAGTTCAAGGCCGGCTTAACACATTACGAGACCCAGTGTGAATCACACAAATGAGGCCTTTTATTAAATAAAATGCATAGATCTAATGTGTAGACGTATAGTTTGCTTTTATTTGGTGTTGGGCCGTTCGGTGTATAAAGGTGTTTCAAAATGCAAAATGGGATTCTATTAATAATTTAAACAATTACTTTATAGAGTACTCTTCCGGTCAGGAATTCCTGATCAGAACCGCCGTCCGGACGGCGGAGTTTGGGACCCCTCCCGGTGAAATTTTTTGATAAAATGTTTATGACATGTTCTTCATCAAGTCTAGTTTATCCACAAAAAAGTTCAGCTAAAAATTCAATCGGGAAGGCCGTCGTATGATTTTTGAAAGATAACTGCGCCGGAATATACATATAAAACGTACTCCCTCCGTCCCTTATAACTTTGCCAACTTTCCTTTTTTGGTTGTCCCAAAAACTTTGCCACTTTCCATTTTAATGAATCAATTTGTGGCTCATGTTATTTCTCTCTCCTCTGCACAAATATATACCACACAGTTTTTACTTTATTATTCTACGTGCCAGCCAAACTTGGCAAACCTTTAAGGGACGGAGGTAGTAGTTAACTTCCAAAAATTATTTGACAACCTTCCCGATTGAATATTCATCTGAATTTCTTCTTGGATAAACTAGATTTGATGAAAAACATGTCATAAAAATTTCATCAAAATAGTCAATCGGGAAGACGCTGAAACGCCACCGTCCGAACAGCGGTTCTGGTCCGGAGTTCGAAACCTGAATATTTCTCTACTTTATATACATATACTATTTAAATTTTAAAAAAAATTGGCCTTCTATTTTTGGAGGCCCTGTTCAGTAGCCCAGCTTGCACAACCTCATCTACGGCCCTGTAAAAGTTAAGGTCTTATTTAATTACATACGGGAAGTTAAGCTCCTATTTAGCATCATTTCTCAAGATAAGGTATACTTCAATTTAATTTGTGGAAGATAAACAAAATGATCTTATTTGTGCCTTTAAGGACTAATTTAAGGACTAGTTTAAGGCTATTTTCCTATTTGTAAAATAAATCACTTCTTAACCCTCCCTAAATTATTTCGTGTTTTTGGGGTTTTTTCAGTCTTCTTTTATGTGAGAAACCAAAAAGAGAGCTTGTCGTAGAAGCTTCAATAGTGTTAATTATCTGCAAGTGTCGCAGTGAATCCTTGTGTTGGATTTAGCGCCTAATATTTTGTCCTTTCAACAATACTAATTAGATAAATTAATACCAAAAACACTTCCCCAGAACTTTATGTTAACTAAAACTACCGTAAAACCCTCCGCTCTCCGCGTTGGAACAGCGTAAAATCGCTGTACTGGATTCGTAATTCCAAGCAAATGGAGTGGCATTTCCACTCAACTGCACCGCGTTTCATGATTTCTGGGTTGTAGCTTGGGGTGCAAGTTACAGCGGGTCCACTCGCATTTACCATTTTGACCCCGGGTCGGTTTTCCAGGCTCGGACAGAGACTTAGTAAACGACTGGGCCACATCCGAACCTCCACGAACAGTAGAAAAATAGATGCTAATACCCGGACCAAAAATCCGAACCTCTTGCTAATGTTGTTCCAGACCAAGGACTTCCCGCTATAAACACATGGTCTCTCAGTCTCTCACTCGATTTCTTAGCTAAGTGGAGAACCTAAATGTATCTGCAGAAAGAGTGAAAGATCTTCTCTTTGAGTATAAATGGATTTGACTCCAACTACTAATTAAAGAAGACAGAGACTCTTGGGTGTTTTCTAGGAACTCGGATTGATTAAAAAAAGAAATCTTCCCTTGC